GTTGGTATGTGGTGCTGAGGATCGAACCCGGGCCGTACGCATGCCAGGCGAGCGCGCTACCGCTTGAGCCACATCCCCAGCCCCAATTCTTGCAATTTCACATGCCAGCTTTTTCCTTCTCTAACCTGCTCTTCTATTCACCTCCCTTTCCATCTACATTCAAGCTGTCCATTTTAATTACTGGGAAGCTGCATAAATTTCATAGCATATCAAATCATGTACTTGCTGAATTGACTCATTTTATCCACCAACTTTCAAACATGTGGGTATTTAATTAAAGCTTTGGATTGATGATTTCAACAGATAAAAATGGGGAGGACTCCATGCCATATTAACTTTGTAAAAGCATCACCGTCTGGTTAAAAGAGGTCACAGACAAGACTAGTTCAAATTGGCCCACATAGGAGGTGGTCAACAAGCAAAGAATTCTCCAAAATGCTTTGCACAGTGCTAACCATGCAAGTTGGGGTTCCGGAAAATTGTTAGGAAGTAAAGAAATGGCCGCACTGTGTCTTCAATTTCTAGAACATCCCTTGCTCCCAAGGAATTTTTACAAAGAACTCTTTTAAAACTCTTGTGTTAAAAATGTATTTTAAGACACCACAAACGTGAAGTAAACACTTTTCCCTTATTTGCACAGATTGAGAAAGCACATCTATTCAACTTGAACGTGATAGAGATGAAATTTATGAAAGGAAAACTCGTTGTTGTCCATACTGCTGCTCTCCTCCTGAATGTTCCTCAGAAGCATAGAAAACGAGTTCTGAAAGCGAACTTTTCCTGTGTTCCAGGGAAGAGGGGAACGTGGGGCCTCTTGACCTATAAAACTCAATATTTTGGAACATCCATAATTCTCTCAAGCCTGTGCCAGTCAAATAGAGACTCCCTTCGGCAAAACAACTGCCAGCCAAAGCTGGAGAGTAAAGCTTTCATGCCTAGGAGTTGACAAGGACAGGACTTAAAAGCTCCTTGGAAAAAAAAGTCTCAACTTCAGCTTGCATTACAAACTGTTGGAAAAGACAGATGGAGGGGATGACAGGAAAAGCAATTATTTCTTCTGGGCTTCCTCTCTGTCTGGATTCTAAGGAGACGAATACAAAATTCCATCACAGATTGAAATGCTATCTAAACATTCTTGAAAATGTGCTCTTGCTCTCTGAAATATGACCTGCTCTGCTGTAGTAACTTGTAACCCATTACCATATGAAGGTGGGGAGTATCAACATTCCTGCAGCCCACCTACTTCTGGGCCTGACTCCCCAAATTGGTGAGTTTGTGACCCCCCAGCTTAAAATGTAAATAACTAAAAGATGTATATTCACATACCATGACCCACCAAAAGTCATGATGAATCATCTACTTTATTTTCACATTCCTGGAGTTTTAAATACCCGTGACTCTCTTGAGTATTTAAAAGTTTATAGTGAGCTATTCCAAGTGAAGGTTGAATCACACTAAACAGTAGTGCTATTCCAAATAGTAGTATACTGGGACTATTCATACGTGAATCTGGGCAGGGGTATAGCTCAGCAGTAGAACATAAGGCCTTGGGTTCAAATCCCAACACGGCAAAGAAATAAAAATCTCATGCAAGAACCAAGCTTTCAACCACTATAAAGGAATACTCAATAGGGCTGGGGATGTGGCTCAGGCGGTAGTGCGTTTGCCTGGCATGCGTGCGACGCTGGGTTCGATCCTCAGCACCACATACAAATAAAAATGTTGTGTCCACCAAAAACTAAAAATAAATATTAAAAATTCTCTCTCTGTCTCTCTCTCTTTAAAAAAATAAAGGAATACTCAAAAACTGATTAAAATGATGTTTTTATGGTCAAGAACTTTTTTTTATTTGTAATCAACAATCATACACACACCAAATATTCATTACAGCTGAATAAAATGTTGCACGTGGACTATGGGGACTGAAATATGAAGATGAGAAAGATGTAGTTCTTACCTTCATGAAACTTAAAAACTAATCAAGGGGACAAAACATATTTACCAGTAAGTCAAGGGAGACCACACAACCCAAGATAAAGCATAAGCAGAAGACTGTGGGAATTCTGGGACAGACAGAACACACATCTGAATGAGGAATACTGGGATCAATCTTCTCCTCTGTAGAATGAGAGGAGTAATCCAGATGAATTCAGAGTCCCTTTGAGCTCTAAAATTCTGATTCCTTTGATGTTACCCAGATGAGGTAAACATATCATAAAGGAAAGATTATTTAAGCCAGCCTTTAGATGGGTAAGATTTTGAAATGTAGCTATTGGAAGAAAGAAAGAGAAGAAAAGACATTTCAGGCTCAAAGAAAGCATAGGCCCAGAAAGCGCAGAGCATACTTGCAGGGCACCAAGTCTTCAGTATGTATGGAATATAAGGACAGACAAAATCAGAAATGGAGACTGAAGCCTTGAATATAAAGCACAGAAACTTGGATTTACTTCATTTAGCAAGCTAGAGGCACTGAGGTTTCTGAAGAGGCAAATGACATGACTAGACACGTTAGAAAAGTTAATCAGTGTAGAGTGTTTGTGGGTTACCCTGTTCCTCTTCATTATCTCTAAGGGCCCAGTGCGCATGGGCCTATTCTGCCAGAGAAGCAGCACTTCTTACCTCAGTAAGCAGAAACAAAGCAATAAGGGCTAAGACCATACAAAAGTCCAGGAAGCCCAGCACAGTGGTGCATACCTGTAATCCCAGTAGCTTGGGAGGCTGAGGCAGGAGGATCGTAATTTCAAAGCCAGCCTCAGCAAAAAGCAAGGCACTAAACAACTCAATGGGACCCTGTCTCTAAATAAAATACAAAAAAGAGCTGGGGATGTGGCTCAGTAATCTAGTGCCCCTGAGTTCAATCCCTGATACCCCTCTGCCAAAAAAAAAAAAAAAAAAAAAGCCCAGGAAATAGGATTGGTTTTAAGAACCTAGCATGTCTTCAAGCAAATACTGATTATGATAACAGGAAGACAGATGACTTACAAATAGGCCAACAGAAGAAGATTGTTAAGAGGAGGGGAGAAGCCATAAAGTGTGAGAAAACAGAAAGATGAATACAACTGAAAATGGAGAAGAAAGGACTCATAACACCTGTGGAGCCAGTAGCAAAGGAAACAGAAATATCAAAGATCAGGAAATTTCTAAGTAAGATTACACCCTCCCCTCACCCACCCTAAATCTGGGCAAGCATAACGAACATTTTCAGAAATTAATTGGACTAAAAAATGTCTAATAGAAGAGATAAAAGGACCAAGGCTATGCATAACAGCGCTCTCCTGACTGAACTAAACAAGCACTGAAGAGGCAGGACCAGGCGCTGTGGAGAGGAAGGCTAGAAAGGCATGCTCAGCATTTCTGTTATGACAGTAATTTATGAAATACGATACCTATACAGAAGAACAGAATCCAAATAAAAAGGAACATGGCTAATAGATAACATCTGGCCTCTCAATCACTGAAGAATACCTCCCCCACACCTTTCTTTTCCCTTTCTCCCCTCTCAATACCTCTCTTTATTAAGATCCCAAAAGAACTGTAAAACTCTGAAATGAATCCATAGTTACCTGCTTCTGATAAAAATAGGCATGAGAAACTGTAGCTATGTCAGGTTACCATCTTTTGAAGCAACAAACCCCCAACAACTTACCTGATAGACAAAAGCAGTCATCTTATTTAGCCATAGAACACAAAATAAAAGAGACATCTGGTACTAGGTCAAAGACAAGGAAACCAATTTGCTCATTAAGCCTGCATGTTCCTGGCCTTGAATGAGCTATGCTACTACACATGATCCTGATCCAAGGGACACTGAGTGACAGCTCAAGGCAGATCTGGGCATCCTACCCCTGCTATGCGGCAGGGAACAGGCATATAAGTCATGCACATTTCCTGATGTATATGGAACAGAACAATAAAAAAGTGCTCTGCAAACAGATTAACATCTTGTTCACTTGATTGTTGAGTCTTCTAGAAATTAAGGGAGTATAATTTTTTTTCTTTATGGATGAAGTTGAACATCTTTTTAAATTGTTTATCAGCTACTTGTGATTTTTCTGTGACTTTGCTGTATATATTTTTGTCCTTTTTCTTTTTTTTAAACATAAGAAATTTATTGGTTGCTCAAAACAATACATTGATCTTGACATATCATATATCATACATTTGTTTCAAATGGGGTATGAATTCTTATTATTCCCACATGTACAGATTGCAGGATCA